GAAGTTTGTGCCGGGTCGCGGTGGCTCGGGCTGTAAATCCCAGCACTTTTTGGAAAAATAAAAACATGGCCGAGGCCGGGCGTGGATCATGAGAAGAGGTCAGGAGTTCACAGACTAGCCTGGCCAGTATAGTGAAACGCCCGTCTTATTAAAAATACAAAAATTACCGGGTTGGTGGGTACGCTGGCCTGTGAGTTTCCCAGCCTACTCAGGTAGGCGGAGGCAGAGAATCATTGAACCAGGGACCGAGCTTGCCAGTTGAGCCGAGATCAGTGCCATTACATTCAGCCTGGGTGACAGAGCGGACTCCATCTCAAAAAAAAATAAAATCAAAATTAAATAAAGAAGTTTGTTAAGCCAGGCCACGGTGGCTCATGCCTGTGAATCCCCAGCCGCTCTTGGAGAAGGCTGAGCGGGCCACGATCACCTCGACTTGCAGGGAGTTCGGAGACCAGTCCTGGCAAACCATGAGTAAACTCTGGTCTCTACTAAAAATACAAAAAATTAGCTAGCTGGCAGCTGGGCACGTGCCTGTAGCTCGCCACATTTGGAAGAATATTCAGTGATTCTGCTCCAAAATGTAAAGCAAAAGTACCGTATCATTTTATCCTTGAAAACATGTTCTCTGCCCACTTGTAAAGACCAGGCCTGTCTTTAGGCCCGTTGCAGCCAGCTCTTCCTCCCGCACCGGAGCAGATTGCCATGTTTGAAGGCTGTGTGGTGCAACCAAGGCCTGTGTTTAGTCCTTAGGATCATTCTCGGGGTGAGGAGATGCTCATTCTGGGAGGAGCCCACAAGGATGGGAGCACAGGAGCGAGCAACAGAGCCACATCTCCTGCCCGGCCCCCTCGCTCTCACTCATGGACTAGGGTGGCAGACAGAGGTTCCAGGACCATCTCTGCCTCGTGACTTCTCACCCTGCTTTTTCTTGGCTGAGCCACATAGTTGAGTGTGCGTGCGTCATGTGTGCGTGTGATGGTGCACTTCCGCTGCAGTGCCGCTTATCTAGGGCATCAGGATGTGAGTGAGGAGCAGTGGGAGGTGAGACTTTGGTCCAGTTTAGAAGGGGCCACAAACACCTAACTCGGTTGCATGGACTTGATCTTGCAAGCAAAGGTTTTTAGGGCAGGAGGTGATAGGATTATGATTAGGACCCGGATAAAGGAAGGCAGCGGGGGATCTGGGGACACTGAGTGCTCTGGACGTGGCAACACAGAGGCCACAGAGTTCTGAGGTCATTTGATGGGGGGTCAGCCGCTCCACGCAGCAGACCAGCATAGGTTCTGTCACCAGGCCTGGAAGGATGGGAAGGAAAGAACTACAGAGCCAGTCACAGCAGCCCAGTTTCCCTGGGACACTCCCTAGAGGGGTGGGGACAGAGCAAGTCAGTCACAGAGAAGAACATAAGAATAACTCCAGAGTCTTTTTATTCCAAAATCACGCCGTCCATGTGTACTGCCTGATCCATCAGGGAGAAAAGACTGCAGGAGGCGCAGAATCTGTTTTCCCAGCTTTGCCTCCCACAAGCATGACCCTGGGCAAGTCACAGAACACCTGCAAATCTACATCTGTAAAATGTCGAGTAGGGGACTGTGCTGTGCTGATGTCCTGAGCCACCCTGCCTGGTTGAGTGTGTTGACCTGGGTTGGGGGAAAAAGCCTTGGAATCCGATTTAAACTGAAATCCCTCCCAGGACGTCATGTTGTGTGACTGCAGAGGACAAAGCTTCACTCCCCTAAAAGTCGGGCTGAGAGGCCAGGCACGGTGGTTCACGCCTGTAATCCCAGCACTTTGGGAGGCTGAGGCAGGTGGATCACGAGGTCAGGAGTTCGAGACCAGCCTGACCAACATGGTGAAACCCTGTCTCTACTAAAAATATAAAAATTAGCCTGGCGTGGTGGCACGTACCTGTAATCCCAGCTATTTGGGAAGCTGAGGGAGGAGAATCGCTTGAACCCGGGAGGCAGAGCTTGCAGTGAGCTGAGATTGTGCTACTGCACTCCAGCCTGGGAGACAGAGCGAGACTCTGTCTCCAAAAAAAAAAAAAAAAGGCTGGGAACGATGCCTCTACTCACCCTGTGCATAGCAGACCTTATGCTTCCCAATGGCCGACTGGGAGTTCAGGGTATGGGAGAAAGGAGCAAATTACATGGTCTCAAAATCACACAGATTCTTCACGGACAGTGTCCTTGGCATAAAGCTGAGAATGTTCCTCCGGAAGAACAGCGTCGTCTGAAAGCTCCTGGCCATTCAAGTCTCAACTTGGCAGCAGTGGCACCTCCAGTTTGCCCCTGAAGACCACAGGCATTCAGAGCCCATGAGTTTGGTTGGTGCTTGAGTCCAGAATGGGCAGCTCCCAAGTAGGGGTTCTCCTTGGGGTTCACAGGCCCGGAGATCCCACGACCTTGTCAGTGGAGGAGGATGAGGTGGCCAGTCCCTCTCCTTGGCGGCACTGCAGGGGGCGCCCGTGCTCTCAAGTCACACTCTGTCTCTCCTGCACACACGCGGCGCTGTCCTGGAGGACGGTGGCGTGCTGAGCTTGTCTTACACACAGAGCATGCTTCTGTGGCTCAGCCTCACTGCGGCCACTCAGTCCTTCCTCGCCCACAATGCTTACCTGCATTTTTAAGACCGCCTCCTCCACTTGAGAGTAACTTCCATGAGGGCAGGGCTTGTAAGCACATGGTAAGCATCTAGCAAATATCCACTGATTAAATAAATGAATGACTCTGTAAACCTCCCTCCACTGCTGACACCCCACTGATGTGGGTCAGAGGTGGGGTCAGCAGTGGGTGTGGAGTCAGGGATGTCTGTGGGGCATAGTGTTAGGATGAAGACCAGTGATTGAACCACTTGACAACCACTTTTATGTGGCCAAGAAAATAATTGGGTTTTGGTGCAGAATTCCTGTGGTCAGGAGCCACCACGCAGGAGCCTAGGAGGCACTGGCACTGAATTGCCTCAGGATGGCTACAGAGCACAGGACCCAGGGGTGGCCATGGGCGTAGAGCAGGCCTGGCTACTCCAGAGGTGCCCATATGAGACTGTAGTTAGCACCCTACACATTGTGGGCAGCCTGGAGCAAGCCTGGCCCAGGAGGGAGATCCACGCCTCCCACCCCCCTGGCCTGACTCCATCCAACTGAGGACTGAATTCCACAGGCCGTAGACAGCAGCAGGTGTTCCAGACAGCGTGGCTCTCCACATGTGTGCCAAATTCACCCCACCCTGGCCCAGAACCGCCCACGTGAACAGACTTTTTTTTTCGGAGACAGGGTCTAGCTCTTGTCCAGGCTGTAGTGCAGTGGTGCGATCATGGCTCGCTGCAGCCTCAACCGTGCAGGCTCAAGCAACTCTTCCACCTCAGCCTCCCTGGTAGCTGGGACCACAGGCATGCGCCGCCACACCCAGACTTTTTTTTTTGGTAGAGGCAGGATTTCACTATGCTGCCCAGGCTGGTCTCAAACTCCTGGGCTCAAGTGATTCTCCCACCTCGGCCTCCCAAAGTGCTGGGATTATATGCGTGAGCCACCATGCCTGGCCAGGACATCTTAACACAAACTTTTGTTAGCCGGACATGGTGGCACCTGTATTCCCAGCTACCTGGGAGGCTTAGGTAGGAGGATCGCTTGAGTCTGGGTAGTTGAGGCTGCAGTGAGCCATGATCGTGCCACTGCACTCCAGCCTGGGCGACAGCAAGACCCTGTCTCAAAAAACAAAACAAAAAAGAACAGACTTCTAGTTTTCACTTATTAACTTCACTAATACTAAAGCTGAGGTAACTAACTCAGCCCACACAACCTTCAACACACATTACCTGTCACAAAGCACTTGATGTGGTATTATTGGATTTAGGGCTTGATAATTTGGAATAAAAGACACTGATATTACTGATTGTGCCTGTTTTTATCAGTGGCTTGTTAATTATTTCTGTTTTCATTAGTGATTTTTATGAATGCAGACTGGTTAGCCATGAAACTGTGAGTCATTTCATTTCTGTTTCTTCCCAGTTGCAACAGCCCATCTTTGTGGGAAGAACCAAGCTTTAGGCTCGGCTCTGAACAGCCACAAAGCAACTTGGCTGAGGTCCTTCCATTTCTCTCATGCTCAGCAGGGGGCAGCAGACCAGGGCAGTTCGGAGTATGGGGTCAAACCCAGGTCCCTGTCCCCACTCCACCTGTGGATTTTCCTTGATTGGGCAAGCCCTTTAACTCTCTGAGCCTCCGTGTTCTCAGAGTGACTCGAGGGCTCACTGAGGGGCCGTATGAGAAGTGGGTGGCCCAGACTGGGACACAAAGAAGCCTTGATCAATGTTTGCAGTTGGATTAAGTGGGTAAATCTGCATACATAAAAATCACTAATGAAAACAGAATTAACAAGCCACTGATTAAAAACAGGCACAATCAGTAATATCAGTGTCTTTTATTCCAAATTATCAAGCCCTAAATCCAATAATACCACTTCCCCAGTTTGCTCTTCAGTGAAATGAGAGGCACTCAGGCCCCTCCAAGGACTTGGACTTGCTGTGATTTCATGGTGGACTTTCTTCCTTACTGGGCCAGATCCCTGGAGCTGGAATCCAGGCAGCTTTGTCCCCTTTCGAAATTTTCTTATTCAGAAGGTTCTGGAAAGCCAACAAATTGAGTTTGTGACAGAAATTGACATTAGCTGGGTGGGTGTGGTGGCTCACACCTATAATCCCAACACTTTGGGAGGCTGAGACAGGAGGATCACTTGAGCCCAGGAGTTTGCAACCATCTTGGGCAACATAGTGAGACCCCATCTGTACAAAAAACTTTTTTTGTTTTGAAATGGAGTCTCATTTTGTCACCCAGGCTGGAGTGCAGTGAGGCGATCTGCAACCTCTGTCTCCCAAGTTCAAGCAGGCCTCCTGCCTCAGCCTCCCAGGTAGCTGGGATTATAGGCACCTGCCACCAAGCCTGGCTAATTTTTGTATTTTTAGTAGAGACAGGGTTTCACCATGTTGGCCAGAGGCTGGTCTTGAATTCCTGACCTCAAGTGATCTGCCCACCTTGGCCTCCCAAAGTGCTACATGAGCCACCACACCTGACCTTCTACAAAAATCTTCTTAAAAATTTACCCAGGTTTGGTGGGGTGTGCCTGTAGTCCCAGCTACTCAGGAGGCTGAGGCGGGAGGATCACCTGAGCCCTGGAGGTCAAGGCTGCAGTGACTCATGATCGCACCACTGCACTCAACCTGTGCGACAGAGCAAGACCCTGTCTTGAGGGGGAAAAAGAGATAGAAAAAAAAGAAAATGACACTACCCCAAGTCCAGTGAAGTTATGTCGGAATTCCATCTTTGACACTAAGTAGCTGGGTAACTTTAAGCCAGTGGTCCTCCCACAGCCTACAACATCAGCATCACCTGGGAACTTGTTAGAGAAATGCAAACTCTTGGGCTTTGCCCCAGCCCCACTAAATGATGGTTCTGGGAGTGGAGCCCTCCAGGTGGTTGGGATGCCCCTAGTTTGAGAACCATGGCCTTAGGCAATTCATTGGAGCTCTTTGAACCAGAGTCCCCCGACCTGGAAAACAGGGGTGAGAATCCTGCCTACCTGCTGCCACTGTCGTGGGGAGGATTAGAAGAGGGGACACTGTAGAGTGCCTGCTGCCCGGTACGGGGAGGCCCCTCTTGCAGGGGCCCCCGCAGGAACCTTACAGGTTTATCTTGTTTTCCCAGCATTTGGAGATGCTGAGCGTTGATGCTTTTTATTGCTTTCACCCCCTTTCTCATTTTATGGTTAGTGATTTAATGGTTTATTTGCTTTCTTGTGTGTTTTTCTCTCATTTTACATTTAGTGATTTTTTGTGTCATTTTTTTCTTTTGCAGATAAAGACTATTTCCTGATTGTGATTCAGAATCCAACCGAATAAGCCACTCTCGGCTCCCTGTGTCATTCCTTAATTTAATGTCCCCCAAGAATGTTAGTCGATCATGTCAGTGGACTGGCATGTGGCAGTCGCCTTGGAACCCACTCAGACCAATCCAGTGACCATGTGTGGGCTGGCAGCTCTTCCTCCCCCACCAAAGGAACCCCTGTGTTCGCCAACCTTCCCCAGAGCTCCGGAGGGCCGTCTCTCCTCACTTCCAGGTTTTAGAGCAAGAGCTTGCAAGAAGCCCGCACCCAGCTTCCTTCTGACCTTCAGTTCACTTTGTCGCCCTTGGAGAAAGCTGTTTTTCTTTAACTAAAAATAACCAAAATGCTTACCCGGCTGTTGTGTCTTTAAACACTAGGTTGAAAAGGCCTCTTTCTTCCTGTGTAATCACACGTCAGAGGCCCGGCTGCCTCCGTCAGTCCTGGAGGGAGATCATGTTCACGGCTCCGAGAGGCCTGGTGCTGCTGCTTGTGCCGGTGGCCGTCCTTCGTGTAGCTTGGTGTCAAATCAGTGCCCTGGCTTCTGGGCCTCTTGGCCCTCGTCCTTCTTTTACCGTTTCCCACTGCTGCCACACTCGCTGCCCAGTGTTGAAAGATTTTTTTCTGCCCCTACGCCCCGCACTGGGGAAGAGTGGTACTTACTGAGGACCCGGAATACGCACCTGGCATTAATCTACATAGCGTCTCCCCAGCCTAAGTACCCCACCTGCAGACGAGAAGTGTTGGGGGCTACCTCAGACCATGGGGAACTTTGGGCCTTAGAACAGGCTTGCCTATCGCCCCTCACAAGTAGTCCAGGACAGCAGGTCTCCGGACTCAGTAATCCCCTGTCTTCCCACCACCTATCTGCTCCAGGAAATGCCCTGGAGGACCCCATTCACCCCGAAGTGAGCCCGCTCTGGCAAAACATCTGCCCCAGTAGCACCTCAGAGTGCCAGGGTCCTCCCGCGCGACAGCTGTCCAGAATTCACCTGCACTCAGGCTCCCCACACCCAACTCATTCCAGCCACTCCTCCTGTTTTTTCCCTCTGAAAACATATTGTATTTAACATTTTGATTATTAGGGGTTTTTCTTTTTGGTCTGTTTTCCTGTTACACCAGGAAAAAGAACTCCACATGCACCTGTGTTAGTGTGAGCCCCTGGAAATCCCCCGTCATTGTCCTCCCCTGCCCCAGAAAGTGCACCCACTGTTCTGTGAGTTCTTCCCCATCTAGCAATCATTACCCCTGCCCCAGATTTTCCAAGTGAGGACGCTTCCTCCAGTGGTATCGGAAGGAGGTAAATACCGTACTCCCCTTTGGAGTTGAGGGGTGTAGTTTGTAAAGAGTGTGGCAAAA